CGCGAATTTAATGACCGGAAGGTCCGTGGTTCGAACCCGACCTCGGACTCTCGACTTTCCCTGTCTAGGCTTGGACGACCTGGCACTATCCCAGCCCTCGTGCAACCTTCGGGTGGCATGGCAGTTAGGCGCCGGAATGGTGCTACAGCTGAACGACTTTTTTCTATACCTGATCCTGTCGGCCACTGTGCTTCGTTGGCTGGGCCGGAGATTAACCCTAAAAAAATCGGGTTCTTCGCCGCGGGCTTGAACGTTCAGTCTAGCCCGGTCAATATTAACCGACAACCCACAAGCCAACTTGATTCCTTCAAGTATCTGGACCCCATCATCCTCTTCAATGGTCATCGAAAACACCAGGGAGACGTTCACACAGCTTTTCATCACTCTATGTAAACACTCTGAAATCAGACTTCGGACCAATCTCCGTGTATTTACTATGACATTCCGATCCGTACTTGCCTACGCCTCTCCGAACCGTTAATCTTCTAAGGATACCCAAAGTACGTTGGAACGACAAAATATCTATGGGTGGTATCAGGGACCGTCATAATAACGTACTCCATCTTATCAAGTTAATCCAGCGACCCAGAATGCAGTGGCTGAGACATATCTTCACCAGTTCAACTCGGAACGGTCCATATTCTCTGTGTTTTCACTGACATGCTCAGAGTGATGTTGTTTTATCAGATGACAGCTGGAAACCTGGCTGTCTGCGTTCAAGCCGACGATAAGCTACTTGGTCAGAAGGTGGCCTACAGGGTCAAGCAGTGGAACGCTGTGCTCGGACCTTGCCGCCGATCGCTCTGTATGTGCTGTTGCGATCTGGGACATCCTCGTCCGGAAGAGGACGCCTTCATAAAGTAATGTAAGAAGTAAATTTACTCAGCGGTAGCTAGGGTTTAATAGTTTTCGAAGGTCCCGAAGGGTTATCTGTAATGATTTACTGCGGTACACTGAAGTCTTGCAATTGAAGGAGCAGAGTTGGGGAAAGGGATCATTGTGCCATCATACCACACACAAACCAGGTGCTCACGTTCGCAACACCGCCAAACAATTTGAAGAGAAACTGATATCGCTAGCCAATATTTTCTTTCGGCGTCTTCAACCAAGCACTATTCTAGAGGGTGGTTGGCACTGAAAACAAGATCCTGTATGCCGTTCCTAATTCTGTTGTGTCAATTCATATCTGGCTAGCCCATAGGTTTATTTTTGTGGCCTCAAAACAACTTAATGCGTTTGGGGGTGGATAACTTGAGAACGGTTACTGTCATCCAATGCATCGTACTGAGCTGCTTACAACAGAGTCGCTGTCATTCGAGCCACACTGGTTCATTGGGTTCTCACTGCAGTTCTGACCAAAGTGAAGTAAATGATCAGGCGACTTACAGTCGGAGGACCCAGTCGCGGTCAGTTTAGTAGACTCTTTAAATCACAACGAGAACATGAACTTACTCCGCATCAGTTTGCCAGTGGCATTAGCTCTGGTCTGATATTCACTCGTTTCAGTCGGATACTACAAGGTTGGCTTTTCCTTAAATTGGTTTCCATCCTAGTGTAGTTCCACCGACACAGGTTTCGAATACACTGCTAGATATCTCATCTAGGCACAGTACAACAGTGTCCGGTCTGAGAATAAGAAGATGTAACACCGAATATCCCGATCCGACGGTGTTTATTGCTTCAACTACTTCGAAATCCAAGAGCTTGAGTTTATTCGCACATGTCTTTTCCATTTTAGACGTTGCCTGAATCTGCTTAGCGCATACTTGGGATTGGCAGCAGAACTCTGACTGTATCATACCGATGTCCACGAAACCCACACGCCGTGCCACAAAACCTGTATCAATTTGGATTCCCAGTGGTGAAATTTACGAGTATGACAAAAAGGTATTCACCAATTCGGTCATTACCTACTCTTCTTAGATTCGTCCCCATAACTCTACCGATTTTCTTCAGCTGGCCACCAAATTGGGCCTGGAAGACGATGCATCTTTCTTTTTTCTCACAGAGGTACTGGTGACAAATACTCTTCTCGTCTAATTTGCTAGATAGGGAATGATTTATTTCTACTGCCCGCCTGTTATCCACGAGCAGCTGAGGAATTACATACCGATCAGGCAAAGTAAGCTCGTTTCAATCCATCAACCCCTCCAAACATTTAGGCTCTTCTTTCTCTACTATTTATGTGAAAAGTGCCAGAGTGACAATGTTCTCATCCTTGCTCCACACAAAGATTCAGATGTCAAGATGATTGGAGACCACGTCAGTTCGAGTGAGTTCGTCAGGTCCCTGTTTCCATGCTCGCACTTTCCCCATGATTCTGTCCCAAACCGGTGAATGAAGAAATCCAGCTGTAGCACTCTTTCGGTGCTAGCTGCCGCGCCACTCGTAGGAAGCACGGAGGCAGAGACACTGCCAGTTTGACAAAGCCTAGACATGAGCAGTCGAGATGGTGAGGTCGTGTTCGATCCATGGACCTTCTGGTCAGTAAATACGCACCTTAACTATTGAACAATCATACAGGCTCGATGCTCTAAACTAGGCGAGATGACATAGTGAATTTACCGACCGGAAGGTCCGTTGCTTGAACCCGACTCCTGCCTCTCGACTTCCCCTGTCTAGGCTTGGGCAACCTGGCAGTATCGCAACCCTCGTGCTTATTTCGGAAGGCACGGAGGTGGGCACCAAAAGTGTGTTTCAGGTGAACGCTTTTCGAAACTAGAACACTGGGGAAACCCCTATCCAATCCCATATCCATCTGTAGTTGGTAAATAACTTCTAGTTACAAAGACTTGCCGAGCTAAGTGTGACCGCAATCGAACTCGTGTGAGGAGCTCCGCAGAACTGGCTCACGGTTTTTGACTGTCTCTAAATATGATGATAGATTTTGTTAACGGAAACTTTTCAGATGGAATTCAGAAACCCTCATGAGGGTTGCTATTCGAACTTAAAATTTGGTTTAAAGCTCATTTTCTTGTTTGAATAAATCATCGTATAAGCAGACCATTTTTTCACTATTTTGGGTAAGCGCACGAGATTACTTCCAATGTCTCATAGATTCACGCGAGTGCTTTCTCCAGAAAGCTTGTATGATCAGTGGGTCGGAGCACGGGATAAGTTTTTTTTCGAAAGTGGATTTCCCATTGGGCCGCACATATAACAACATTAGTTGACATAGCTTTTTATCAGCTGCATGCAACACGTTTCAAAAAGTCACTGGGGACGTGTACAACAAAATGTGCCTGCTTCGATCTTTGCAGCCACGGTTCTTGCTCGCCCACGTACGGTAGGGCTGATGAAAGGAGAGTGTGTACACCACGAAGTGGTTCATTCAATTAACTCATTAGGTTCATTAAAACTGAATGTCCGAATTGATTTTATGAACTTTGCTCTAATAATAAACTGTTTTTTTGACCGGGGGCATTCTCATGGCGTCAACTAATACATGCTTCACTTTGACCAAGCTGGATCGTACAACGGTGAATATGTCATCACCTCGTAGTTATCACGAGTAGAGTGCTATCCTTCCATAGTAAAGCAGTTCTTTCAACCTGCGCTTGCTTTGCTTAGTTAACTTTCGCTTACCATCGGTCAGCAGTTTGGTTGGACTGCTCCTGTCTAGGCTTGGGCAACATGGCAGTATCTCAGCTCTCGTGCTTTCTCCGGGTGGCATGGCAGCTAGGCCCTGATAGGGTGTTACAGCTGAACGATTTTTATTGTGATTGCAGTTAACTACTCCCAAGAATCCAATAACAAGTGCCGTGAGTTAAAAGCTCGCTTCACTTGTGGTCGACTGTTTTGAGAAAATAAACGATATCTGAGCGATACTGACAAAACCCGAGCTTGAGGTAGCTCAGTGTCTAAGGTGCGAACTTGCTCATTGTCCGCGGTTCAAACTCAACTCTGGCGCTTCTCAGCCCTCGGGTTCTCTGCAGGTGGTATGGCAGCCGCGCATCGAGAGGGCGTATTTGGTATGTCATTCAAAGTGTAGCTTGAGACTTTTGGGTGGTAGGCTTCCTAACAGTTTTGCCTACCAATCAAGGCAATTTTTTCAGCGTTTGTCCCAGGGGAATTATAGCAAGTGGGCAAAGCTCCCGAAGGGTCAACAGCTCACTTTTATTTCGTCAGCCGTGTACCGAAAAATCAATTAATTTACAGCATAGTGGGCCGGGGGTGGGAGAGGCAAATGATGGGTGGAACGTGTTCTTTGTGGGTTTTCTTGCTTTTCTTTGAAGGGCCGAATTAGGATTAACCAATCTTATTTCCTACCGAAGTGCTTCAAAGTCCAGGCGAACAAACTGAACTGATCTGGAGGAGTTGCCTGTGGCGAATTGAGTAGAATCAGCTGCTGAATTGAGGTTGTGTTACCAAGCGAACCAAAGAACGCTTTTGTTTCAGTTACTCTGCCCCCTATAGTCCGTTTACGAGCAACTGATGAACCCTATAACACAGAACTACTTTATAGTCAAATCGAACCACAACCGGTTTGGTGTTTTCGGTACGTAGTTGGAGGAAGATAGGATCCTGGTGCTAGCCTCTCACAAACACTAGTGTTACCTCTAAGCGCTTATTCGGACTTTTCGGATACAATCTGACAGCAAGATGGCCCTGTGGTTAGAGCGTGAATTTACTGACCAGAAGGTCCATGGATCCGAACCGACCCCTGCCTCTAGACCTCCCCTGTCTAGGCTTGGGTAGCCTGGCAGTATCCCAGTCCTCGTACTTTGTTCTGGCGGCATTGTAGTTAGGTACCGATAGAGTGTTACAGCAGGAGTGTTCCTGATATTGGCCGAGGATCGTATCTTTCTACGTATCCAGCCAAGTGCACGAAATTTGGTGATGATCGTATCCTACCTGGTTGGTCACACCAACAACTTTCAGGCCTTTCTTAGTCTCGTTCATCCCTTTCCACCAAGTCGCACATTACTCACCTCTGAGTGACATTCAGTCCTCAATTTCAAGAATTGTTCAGAAAAGTGTTTGGCATACTAGCTTCAGATGAAAAAATGACATTATCCCTCTGACGTTGATACAGCATGGTACGACTCCCTTGCTTAGTAATCCCGCAGACGAACGGACAAACCGTCAACGGATTCAGCCTCCGGTCCCATCGAACGTGCTCATCGGTGCACAGGGAAGTGTTTGTTATGTGAAAGTTGCCCTTCTTGCTGCATGATTGCTTTTTGTGCCCGACTGGGTGGACAATTTTTCATTTACTCTTGTATTTCATGACTTCCTGTTTGGCACACCCGGAAGATTTGGGATTTTTCTTGGTAATTTCAGACGTGCTAATCCCTTTGCGCTGATCTTGTCAAGCCTAGGGGAGCACTTTTAGTGTATTTTTTCATGTCTCTTATCGACGAAAGATGAGTTCGACAGCGGTGTGACTCGGGTTCAAAAAAGCAGACTCACCACGTTATCCGCTAGGTTACGTAGGTCCGTTTGTAGAAACTTCAGTCTGCAGGCCATTCGGCTGAAATTAATGTACTACAGTTTATGGAATCACTTACTTAAACTCAAGTCTACGCTGTGTATAGCCTATAGTGCAGCTGTAGCGTAAGGTCAATCATGTGATGTGTGACTATTTACCCCAATTTAGTTGTCTCTGAAGGATAATTTGTGAGTTTGATTGAGCTCCGGTATATGTACCGCTCCTAACCGAGCTGGTGTAAAGAGCTGCACAGTCCATATCCACCTTGTGGAGGTACATCGGACGTCTTCTTTGTATTTTCTGTACCATCTGTACCATCCCTTACGCCGGTATGCTGACATCTTCTGCCAACTGGTATATACTTTCTATCCGGTTCACCTTGTTTAGCTGCCTGTGGCGTGCTTTGTGAAAATAACCAATTACAGCTTGGGCAGAAGTTGCCAGAATGGTTGGACTGCTTTGGAAGTGAACGAACGTCCTCATGTTGTCCACATACTTCATACGTTCCCTCAGCCTCACTGCACAACGTACCGGAACGCTACGGAACGCGACCTCTGCTTATTCCTTCTGGGTGACGTAGTTATTCGTTAGATATTGAGTGAAACCTGTTCAACAGTTGCGGTATCCTCAACGTTGTTTTGCCTGCTAAGTCTCGATCGAAGGCATTCGATTACATGCATTGGCTCATAGTACTGTCCAAGACTATCTCCTTTTTTGTTGTCTGATTTGCGAAGCGTTTGACTGCATAGCTTAGATACAATCACCGCAACAGGTGCTTGGTTAGACTTCGATCGGTGGGGCCTCCATGGAGTGTCAATGTTTGACCTTACCGGTCTAACGTGACTTTGTCTCTTTCCTAAGAGGTTTTTTGCGTACATTTAGACCCTGAATACGGTTGAACCTTGAGATTTTGGTTAAGCGACTGAGCTGATAGTCGATTATCCTTTTCTTACAGCAATCTCGCCTTCGTTCTATTGGTTCGTTTCTGTCTGATGTAGGCAAACTCGTTTATCCATCCCTTGACAAACTGATGTCTAACCCTGTGGATCATGTTTCTGGTTGTTTAGTTGTGCAATCCGAGCTCTTCCGCCTACTTACTTGCCCTCATGCATTTTGATTATTTCGTGCCGGGTAACAAGGGTAAGACTCACTAGCTAGTTTTCTCTGATTTGCTTTGTTTCAACTGACCATATCACATCTTTAAGTGGTCAACCGTTTCCCTGTGTTTCTCCCGTTAGACCGGAAGAAATCTAAAGACCTCCAAGCGGCCACTTGGTGAGTACTTCAAACTGAAGTCCCCGTGTGTTGTACACTGTGTTCGCCTTCGATCCAATGACAAATTCCTTTCGATATGAGTGGGCTGAATAGAATTTTTGTTTCATTTGTTGCAGCACTGGTGCTCAACCTGAGAGAACTGATGACGAGGTGGTCGGACCTGCTGGGGACTCAGTCATGGAACATCGGCTAAAGTAAGTCCTTGGATACTCTGCCAACTCTTTGTCGTGTTTGCTTAGTCGTAATCGTTGACAGGCTACGAGGCTTGGGTGGGTGACGGTTCATTGTCCGACAAAGGTGATCAGTTTCCATCGATTTGGCAACTTGGTGAACAGATTTTTAGTATTTACTCATCATTCTTTCATCCGCTGGACCGCAGTTTTAGGCCACTTAGCTCTTTCGAAGCCGTCCCCTTAAGAGAGAAGAGGGGTTATTGGACATTCGGGTTGGTCGCACACAACTGGTGGCTTGTGAGGAGAGCTATTTGAGAACAATTAAATGTATGTTTGTAACAAACTGCGTACAGCCGAGCAATTTAGTTTCCTTAGAAAGCAGATAGGTAACATCGGTATGTCTTTATGGAAGGCAACGGTGGGAGTGGGCCCCGAACTCTTTCTTGGAGATGGACATTCCTATGCTCACTTGTCCGTTTACCACACCGGTTATTTCTGTCCTAACAGTGTATGTTACACAAGTGGTTCCCCCCCTCTAAAACTTGGATGCTCATTCTTGCTCTTTCTATTCAAGCGTTTTTCTCAAATCCCCCGATGCGATCAACCGCCTTCTGTCCACCCTTTTGCAAGTTTCCGGATTGACAAGGGAATCAGTGTCAGTCCAAGTGAGTCTGGGGTGATGACTGACTGTCTGTTGACGGTCTCAGACCGTCATATGTATTGTCACTTGTTATATTGTTGTCTTAAATCCTGTGGGAGCGGCACCAGACAGAAAATGCTGGCCAGCTGTACAAACAGAGGAATTTCGCAACCACGGTGTACAGCTTCCACATACCTGGCATTCCGAAAGTGTGCAAACGAATGCAGTCTACGCGTCCATGTGCCCACGTGATTACGCAACCATCACCCGCCGTACTGGTGACCGTGGAGCGGCGCCAGAACTGTCGCTTTTTTTCCATCATCGTTTTCGAAATCTGCGTGAGCATGAAAACCGCTATGGGTGTTACACACGATTGACATTATGTCTTCCATCAACTGTCGATCTGTTAAAGGAGCTTCGCAAGCAACGTAGTCTGGCATATCAGTGGGTGATTGGAATTGTTTCTCCCCTCTCCCCTGTTAGAGTTTGTGGTGATTTTAAACGAGTGTCTCTAACCTGGTTATTTAATCAGAGTGCAGATTTCTCGTTTTTCTTCTCGCTCCGTTAGCGATATGCACTTCACGCTGATTATATCCAATCGGCCGGCGGTAAAGCATTGCAAACCCAATACCAAGCTTGTTGAATAGACCGATGGGGAGTAAGTGAGTCCGAGCTATCGATATTTTGACACCCTGCGAGTCTCCTATAGTAGGAATTCAGCTAAGTAGTATACTGTTAGCCTCATCTCCTCAATTTCCTCCATATTCCTCGACTTCAGACTTGAATGCGCCGGAATATGAAGTTAAAATCAATCCAGAAGTAGTTTTATTGACGAGTTAACGAACGCAACTGAAAGAAAAGGATCAATTGATTTTCACGCTCTCCCACTTTGTGGTTCTTTTTCTCTTTATTAGTCGTCTTTCAACATGTTCGATAACCTTGAGCTATTCTCTCTTTGAACTTGGCCTCAGTTTCGGACGTACTGAGGTCACCACTGTCGTTGGAAACGTTATTCGTTTCCTGTATTTCTCTTTTCTTCTATTTTGAACATTCCACCCGCTGAATCGTCATTTCTATGAATTCCGACGGCATAATGTTGTTAGCTATGATTCTACATTAGATTTCCGTATGTCGGGCCGTTTGGACTGGCTGGTACCAGTCCATCTGGCCTAATCCAACCTTTCACATGTCATTAGTGGTTTTGGCTGGCTGACAACTTGGCTTTCGGGACCGCTTTTGTCCAGGATTTAAGCAGACGCAATGCGTTTCATCTGAGTTTTGTAAAACTCCTTGTTAGTTGCATATACGAATCTAACAATGCCCACGACCAGTCGCGTGTATATTCGCAGGTTCTCCTGCTGCTTTCAAGGCGTTTGTAACCGAGTATTTCCAGTGGGTTGGTCGCTAGTTGACGCAAGCAAGGCAGTAGCTAGATCATCGTTCAAGCTGTTATGCAAACAAAATACGTCAGCCAAGTCCAGCGATGTTAACCCAGTTAGATGTAGAGCATTATTAACGCGTTAGCCTTACACGTGTGGTCATCGGAGTTCAAGACTTCGCTGTTGACAAGCTTTACAAAGAGTGAATCCATATTTTGGAGACTTTCTCCAGACAGGGGGTGGTCACTCGAAGGTTATCTGGATGTTTGCGCAGCAAGATAATAATCGTTCAGCTGTAACACCCCTTCGGTGTCTAGCTGCCATGCCACCCAAAAGAATCACGAGGGTTGGGTTACTGCCAGGTTGTCCAAGCCTATACAGGGGACGTCGAGAGGCCGAGGTCAGGTTCGAACCACGAACCTTCTGGTCCGTAAATTCGCTCTCCAACCACTCGAATCATCTCGCTCAGCGAGATATGATGCATTGAAAGTTCTTTGTCTTAGCCTGCAACTCTCCGAACAAAATCCGGGCGACCTTAGCAAGTGGATTCACCATTTCACAGTTCGAAGCGACAGTTTATTTAAACTTATTGTTTTATTCCACTCATGAGTGCCAGCTTAGCACCAACTCGATTTCGCTTCTTTTGAACCTTCATCCATATACATGGTAAATGTGACTCCTGTTCAGTTTAGTTTGACCACGATGAACAATACACATACGTACGGTGGTTCGGACCGCCCCAGGTTATGGTAACGAGCAGTGCAGGATAGAGACGTACCGGAATAGCACTGAGGAAGATAAAAGGGAAATGGTATATTAATAATTGAGTACACGAGAATAGATACAACACCATCATCACTGGTTGCCATGCCGGTGAGTACTTCCAAGCATTGGTGTGGTATGATGCCTCCGCAAACATTTTCGTTCTGGATGGCCACTTGTGTGCGTTGTCATCTTGGTTGGTCCACGACCACACTAGTCGATTGATGATTAATTCAGTTCAGTTGAAGCGTATCCGGCTGTCTGGATTTTCGTGATTGTAGAATGCGCAGGTAGGCCACTACTCAATGCTGGTACAATGGCGATTTGGTCGATTGAACACACTCGGGTTGATTGACTTTTTGTACAACAAATTCTAGTTGATGACGATACAACTTAGTAGGCTGGCAGTCGCTACACCAATCGAAACCGAATAAATAACACTGCCACTTACGGTCCTTTATTGTTGAAGAACTTTTGGTTCTATTCAATTTCGCCAGTCTCTAATCGTCGTCATATTGCGGTTAGTCTAATTGGCTTCATTCAACTCCTAATCTCCTTCTGATTTCAGTGGCTGACGTACAACTCCACTTCTCTCCAGTCAATTCCCCTAGTGATAGAAAAGGCCAGAAAGAATTCTCTCTATGAAGATCACTTTAGTTTTACCGAGACTGTCATTAGTCTATTTGTTTAGCCATAGCACCCTTCCGTGCCTATCTGCCAGGCCACCCGTAGAAAGCACGAGGGCAGGGATACTGCCAGGTTGCCCAAGCCCAGAAAGGGGAAGTCGAGAGGCAGAGGTCGGGTTCGAACCACGGACCTTCTGGCCAATAAATTCGCGCTCGAACCACTGAGCTATCTCGCCCCCACTGATGAACCACTCATATGCTTCTTTCCTCGAAAGGCTAGATGACCTTTCTCTAGCTGCACTTGTAGACCGTGATGCACCTTTGTGTTCTGTCTAACTTGCTTGTTTAATCCTATTTGGGACCAAGAACGCGCTCCAGACAGCAGGAGGCTAATCATTCCCTCTGGTATTGTTGTACCCATAGAGATATCAGCCAAACTCGTGCCGTAACACAGCTACTGTTTGCACTGGTATTGTGATGTCTAAACCCGGCATGTGAGAGATGTCTGAAAGCAACATGTAGGATTTCACTCAGGTGGGGTTGGGATTGATCGCATCTCCGATGTCGTACATGCCGCGGTTTTCCTCGACTTCAAAACAGCCTCTGACCCCATAGATAAGTCAGTTCTTGGTCAAAGATTGGTGACTCTGAGGTGCTCTGTTTTCCCCGCACTTCTAATCGTGTGAGAGCTTACAGTGAACGGTCCGAAGGTGTCCTTACAACTAGGGGAATTTGGTAAGGCTGCCTCTCTGTTCACTTTTTCATTGACGTTACCATGGTGTCGAAGTTCTTGCTCTCGAAATTACATCTGCAAAAGACCGGTAGACTTGGCAATCCGAACGACATTGTTTGATGACCATCAGTTCGCACAGTCAGGTGTGTGTTTCCAATTGCTGTTCCAAGATGTGCGTACCTAGTTCTCAGTCATTTTCTATACGAATGTTAGGCTGTTTTGGAATAAATTTCCGCCCTTCCCCTTTCTTTCTACTCTTTCCTTGGCATTCTTATAACTGTGTGGCAGTCAATCACCAGTACCTACTACTGAGTTCTTCACCTCGATGATAATGATGAGCATTTCTGCGACCACTAAATGGCAGTCAATCAGAGTCATCGGGGCAGCAGACGGCGGTTATATTGTGTCATGGGAATCTAACACAGTTCGCACTATTATGCAATGTGTTTGTGGGATCAATTGGTTAATGTGTATCTCGTGAAAAATTCATCAGTTATCTTTGTTTTCGGGCATACGGCCAAAATTATCCACTGATTCGACATTGCTCTGTTTTTGTGGTACGTGTTGCGTATCAATTTCTGTGCTACGGTCACAACAATTTGATCACAGATACCGCGCATTAGGTCGTTGATGCTCGAGGTTATACAGATACCGGCATTAGGTCGTTGATGCTCGAGGGTAAGGAAGTGAAAACAAAAAAAAACGAAAACAACAACAACATCAGAACACCGTAGATTTTGATCGTAGCTTTGCGTAGCATCCTTGAACCGTTGTTTCTGCTGTAACTGGAGGAGATTGACCTAGGATAGGCCAAACGAGTGGGGGTACCAGTGCAATGAAAAAGAACTGAACGGATCCCATGTGTATCTTCTCAGCATGCAGAGTATTCGATGGACTGATGGTTGACGGAAACTCGGGAACTGCGCCTACCTGATGTGCCTCAGGAAAGGCGAAACTGGTCGTGGACTGTCGAAGAGTATTGTGGTACATCTAGACAGGAGGTAACTGTATTCCACCGGTACAACCTGCCGGTTCACATCTTTACTCTGAATGACCTTAATTGTTTTCCAAGCATCAGGATGGAGAGATATTATCGGCCCACAGCCCCGCTCCCCCAATCAGGAACTTAGATGGCACAATAGTTCGTAAACTACATTGTTGATTGTTCGGGCACGTCGCTGTAGAATCGTGTTTCATCCGGATGTCGTGGGTCTTTTCCTTCAAATTGTTCCCACTGGATGCTGCAATACAGTATTCCTGTACTCCGTCTTACGGCAGAAACATCCATTACTTTTAAACTTGTATTCGTGTATTCTTCCGTCCACCTCTCAGTGTAAATCTGTTCTTATTCATTCGTTTTTGGTGGGACTTTTCCAAACTCATTCGTCATTCGATAACAACAGAATCATTGATCGTATGTTTTTTCAGTCTTACCGAAGGTTCCTTATTCTTCTGTATCATAGAACCACGACAAAACGGAATTCACACTTGTGTTGACTCGAGACGAATTGATACTCAAGGAAGAAGCTTTGTCATGGTAAGTTAGAGGTCACTATATCGTATTGATTTCTGCTTGGTACTGCTTAGTGGGTAGTAAACCAATAATCTGTTGTAATGGTTCAGATTCCACGTGCATTGTTGGCCTACTCTTTTCCAGAACCGGTGTTTGGGGGGAAAAACCTTAACTCGGAATCGAGTCTAGCCAACCGCCCATCTCGAAAACTGATATCCAGCGTATAATCTACTTGTCGGTATGTGGTTTGGACCCCTAAGTGGAGCAATGCTGGACTGGTTCTTTCTTTGCTTGACTTGGTTATCCACTGTAAAGCTCGATGGAAAGAGTTCGTAAGTCTCCAATTCATAGCGTGTGGATGCATCGAACTCATGGACTCACTAAAAGTACCAAGTAGTCTGAGTCAGTGTTTTTTATCGTATTCTGTCAGGGCGAATCGTTTTCCTCGAAATGATTTGTTGCCACACCGCCCCGTCTTTGGAGAAATCCCTTCCCGAAATTAATAATTTTATGGAATTTTCGGCTATCTTCAGTTCTGACGTTTATTCCCCTCTATGAAGAACCCTGCACAAACGGGATCCCGAACAAAGATCAGCTGTTGTCAGTGGACCATGATCCGCAGTTGTCTTAACTTGTGGAAAAACTTCTCATGTTTACACAACTCAAGCCTGTCAAAGAGTTCATCCGACAACCACCAGTGCTAAGTGAAAACACCGGCATCTGACCTTGTCTGACCGGATGACGTTGAGCTATCCTCAGCACACGGCGAAATACACTAGAGCAGTGGTTTTCTATAGAGGAAAATGTTGGTAGCTCAGGTAGCGCGGAACCCTGCACAAACGGGATCCCGAACAAAGATCAGCTGTTGTCAGTGGACCATGATCCGCAGTTGTCTTAACTTGTGGAAAAACTTACTTCTCATGCACAACTCAAGCCTGTCAAAGAGTTCATCCGACAACCACCAGTGCTTAGTGAAAATACCGGCATCTGAACTTGTTTGATCGGATGACGTTGAGCTATTCTCAGCACACGGCAAAATGTACTGGAGCAGTGGTGCCCGGTAGATTCATGTTCGGTGTTGATCCTCATTTTAATCAAATGGTGACTGTCTCTAGTTTGTGATTGGACCGACTCCATGGATCTCTTGGATCGCCACATACCAAACACGGTGATTTGAAGTGAAGTTGACGCATGTCTGAAGCCCTTCGATATGATTTTGGGCACAATCGACTTGAATCAATCGGCTTTGAATACCACGGATAACTTTCCTAGTCAGTAATGTTTTTTTCACTGCGCTCAGTTCCCATATTGTAGGGGCGTTTTCATTCGGCGTTGGTGGAGAGGTAGTGAAACCGGGATGTGGTTAGTGTCAACTATCGAAAACTTCTGATAAGCCTGAGTCCCCAAGGCCAGGGTTCATACCTTTGATGGAAGCAACACTACACGTGGCAACCCGTAATTTCCTAGCTAGTTGAATGATTGCACCTCTATTTCTAGACATACGATGGTGCGTTTTCTTTCTATCAAGTGCATATGCTTACCTATTGAGTTGATGAGAATCTGATTTTGCGCCGTCCCTAAATTGAAAGAAACCAATTTTTGTACTTTCGATGCAGGTATCATCATCAGCAAAGGTTTAACCACTAAAAGCCACAGCTGAAATAAATTTCCTTGAATTCGGGGCTTTTGCGATCAGTGAAAGCAGCTGAGAAGCCCGGTCCATTTGTAACTGGAAAAGTTTCGATGCATGAATTTTGGTTCTTGTCACGAGCGTTATTCAACGCGGTACCTGTTGCAGACAGGTACAAAACCGCAGATGCCAGGGCGTTCAGCTGTAGCACCCTTCCGGTGCCTAGCCTCCATGCCACCCAAAGGAAGCACGAGGGCTCGGATACTGCCAGGTTGCCCAAGCCTAGACAGGGGAAGTCGAGTGGCGGAGGTCGGATTCGAACCACGGACCTTCCGGTCAGTAAATTCGCGCTCCAACCACTTGGGCCATCTCACGACCCTGTGAAAAACAGTCATCAAAAGTACACACCGTATATTAACGCCAAAACCCAGGTCAAAAACACCTGTACAGCGATGCGACATTGGCAGCCGGCATTCGGCCAATACTGGTCCGCTGTTGGGTACAGGATTTCGACCAATCAGAGCTCGCCTTGATGCCGGACCAGCAAGTGGCCCAAACTTTTGGCCAATTTTTTGCGGGATAGGCTTTTCAGCCGTAGCAGCGCCTAACTGTAAAGCGATATCGGTGTGGAATTTCACCTAACACAAACTAAACATCGTAAGCATTGCAGCACGCAAATCCATTGGCCTACCTTGGAGTTGATGGTTATGAGCTGAAATGATGTAACAGGGACATGAAGATGAATTGGATAAGAATCAGAACAACTATCCAGCCCACCGCCTATTCTGCTTCTCAATCGATCGTTTAGCTCACATCCGACTACTAACCTTGAGGCGAGATGGCTCAGGTGGTTTGAGCGCCTATTTACTGACCGGATGGTCCGTGGTTCGAACCCGACTTCCGCTTCTCGACTTTCCCTGTCTAGGTCTGCGCAATCTGCCAGTATCCCAGCCCTCGTGCTTTCTTCGGGTGGCATGGCAGCTTGGCACCGGAAGGCTGTTACAGTTGAATGATTATTATTGTCGCTCACCTGAAATCAACATGCTTCTCGGGATGCTTCTCTGTTTTCATCCTTGAATGATACGGCAGACGCCAGTCAATCACTCAACTTTTGTCCCACTCTGCTGGAGTATCCCCTCCGTCGATTGTGTAATAGTTCCTTTTGTACATTATTCGGTGCTTGTTTTTCTCGGCAAATCGTTATTTGCAGACTAAATAGATAACGGGAAACGTCCGTGGGGGGGGGGCAAACCAGTTTTTGTCCACTTTTGCTGATCGCTTCATTGGAATGTAATGTGTCCCCTATGTCTGCTGCATTCTCTCTGAACGTCGTTTTCACTACACTAGCAATCATTTTCAGGATATCATTATCCTACATCCCTATTAGTAGGGCCCATAAGTCTGGTTTTATTCAGCCCACATTACGTCCAGTCTGATGTGATGGTAATGCCTTTTTGACATTTCCGGTCTCTGGATTTGTTTACCCGTGACTCATCCCACCCTCCAATGTTTGTTCGGTCTTGGACAGCTACACTACGTTTATGATGTTTGTCCCCGGCAGAGCACAATTACATTTGTTGCTCCCAGGCTTGCTGTGACAAATGAACACTGTGCGATTGGGAATTCCCAGATGGAAGTAACACTACACGTGGCAACCCGTAATTTCCTAGCTAGTTGAATGATTGGACCTCTATTTCTTTAGCATACGATGGTGCGTTTTCTCCTCACCAAGTGCATATGCTTACCTATTGAGTTGGTAAGGATCACCCATTTAATAGCAGACAAACCAAAATCCTACGGTTCGGGTCACAGAAAGTCTCCAGTCAAGAAGTTTCCATCATCATGTGCTGCACACCGTTTTTGAAACTAGAGTCACCTGCATGCTCACTGTGCTCATCAAGGACAACAACATCTGTGTTGACACACACCCTTCACTGCTGTACAACCCTGAGGTTCGTCTAATTCAAGAATTCTTAGGTGCCTACACCTCCAATCGCTCAATCAGACAATCTGGAAAGAAACTAATGGCACGAACGTCACTGATATCGATTGGCCGCCACTTATTGCAACTTCTCCAGTCAAGCACAGATGAGGTCGCGGGGACCTCATCCTGGAAGGCATACTGGTGCTTAGCTGGCATATTATCTTGAAACTTCATGGTTGTATGTGGGCTGCGTATCGGTGGAAGAGCATCAGTGTGAAGGTGATTGATCCCCTATATCTCACACAGTAAACTTTATTCAACATACAGAATGAAAAATCACGTGCGTTGTGTTGACGTTTGCGTGCTACACGACTGTGTCATTGTCAAGATACGTTAAAACCTTCTTGGTATCCCCGGTTTGCTGGGTTTCGGTGTGTTGCTTCTGTCTCTGCCGGAAATTTGCGCTCGAGATTGCCTTTGTATCGCTTGAGATCTGTCGTACCGACTTTCAGCACTCTGTGGACATATCTGATGTCAGTCAGTTGGGAAACTGATGCCCTGTTGTGTAGCCATCACTATCTGTAAAAACCATTTTCATAAATAGACCCCTTCTGTTTCGTCGAAGGGTGTATCACGTTTCCAGCAGAGGATACTTCGAGGAAGAGGCCATTTTTGAAAGAGTTTCCATGGAAGAGATCTGGAAGCCCTCGCTGAATTCCTTATATCGTGGATTTGGCATAGGTTTTAACAACAATCGTTCAACCCTAACACCGTCTCGGTCACTAGCTCCCATGTCACCTGAATCAGGCACGAGGACTCAGATACTACCAGGTTGCTCAAGCCAGACAGGGGTCGGTCCGTAAGTTGGCGCTTCAACCACTGAACTATGTCGAGCTCCGGCACAGCGTTTGAGGTTTAAAGCTCTGCTGTGTGGTCTACCAACACCAGCCAGTGTAAATCTCATGTAGTCTGCATCCTAAAAAAGCAGTTGTGTTGGGGGACTGTAAATCTCAGTCTGCATCCTAAAAAAGCAGTTGTGTTGGGGGACGAGGCACTCCACCACGACTGTCGCGTCTAAGTTGTGAAATTTCATTCACGTGTTGACCTTAGATGTCTTTCTTGCAAGTTGGCTGCTTGTGGTTTTTACAGAATCCCTTTGCATCACAAAATCTTTGATTTTGCTGTGTTTTAAAACAGACGAAGCGATCGAATGGAACCCATCTCTTTGAGTTATTTATGACTATAGTTCCTTCTCTTGCTGTTTCCAATTTAAAATGCTGGTGATTGTGATATATATATATGTATATATATATA